CTCTTATCTGCACACGACGCGTATGAACCCGAGTAAACATTGACTCAGCAACTGTATGGATTCAATTGTGTGAAGTTGCTGTTAGTTTAGCCACTGCTGTAAGTTTGTGTAAATGCTTGTCGTCTGGTGAAAGACTGGGCCCTTTTCAATGAAATACTATTGCAGTAATATTTGTCCTTCTTTTAAAATAAATACAAAACTCTTTATCTTTCAAAAGGTCATTTACACAGGAAGCGATCTGATTGTGCACTGAGGAAGTTGTATGGCTGTGCTCTATTTTCATTTTGTCTGTTAAGTTAATGATTTGCTTTAGGTTTAGCGTCGCATTGTTGATCATGCTAAAGTATTCTTTCTCGATTACACACCAAACCCAATGAAATATAATCATATTTTTGAGGACAATGTTTGAGTGAGCTTTCTTGTCTTTCCTTCAGTCAAAAAATGTATTATTTATGCCAAATCTAGAAGTATCGCTTATCTTTAATGAAACAGATATTTTTGTACCAATACATTTTGTTTACTAGATTATTTGGTATTTTTTTCCCGTTAATTGTCCTGATACTTTAACCTTTTTATTAGTTTGCACCTGTCGGAAACAATAAGTGCGTTTAGTTTAATTCAAGCTTTCTGAGTGACCCATATCTGTGCTTTCTAGAATGTTCCGAAAGGAGCATCCATGGGCTCTCTCCTCTGCTGCTGCTGCATCATGTGCATAATGTAATCCTCATGCTGCAGTGGGACCACAGGATGTCGGTGCCTCTTTGAATACGTGCATACACGCACGCACTCACACACACACACACTTATGCACACTCCGCATACATTAGCCACGCCTCTGCTGCCGTGTCTAGACTGTTACAGGCCGCGGCTCAGAGGTCCAGTGATTTCTGTTGCGTCATCGCGCCACTCTCCACCGATGCATCTGGTCCCGTTTTAAAGCCTTTTTATCTTAATGCTTTTAACTGTCCATTGTGCTGCGTAAATGTGCAGCTTGTTCTCAGCATTCGGCCTCGTACAGCACGTACATTCACTGCAGCAGGGAAAGGCTATTTATAGACGTGGCCCACAAGTGCAGATAATGCCTGGTTTTGTGCAGGGAAAGAATACTCCAAAATCATTGCTCGGTAAATCGAGGCTAAAGATGCTAATGGTGTAATAACAATATCAAGTAGTGTCTGCAGATGAAACTAAACAAAAAATGACCTTCAAATAGATAGATTGATGTGTAGTCTATCAAATAATGGTATACATTTCTGACATGTGTGTAAGTAGTAAGTAAGTAAGTAAGTATTTATTTATATACCGCCTTTTCACTGCAGATCTGAGTCTCAAAGCGGTTTACAATTGTTAATTTTTTGTGCATTAGTCTCTCACTCCACATAGAGATGGGAGCGGGGTCGCCAGTACAGGAGGCGCATGCTAGAACTATTGGACATATTTTTAGTGGTAGGGGAAACCGGAGTACCCGGAGGAAACCTACGCAGACACGGGGAGAACATGCAAACTCCACTCAGAAAGGCCCTGGTCCGACCGGGATTCGAACCCAGGACCTTCTTGCTGAGAGGCGAGAGTGCTATCCACTCAGCCACCGTGCCGCCCCATGTGTGTTGTATGATCCATTCATGTTTTAATTATACAAGATACAAAAATTTATTTTCCATTTGCAGTAAAACCACATTGGAAAAACTGTGCAAGACTACCCCAGTGTGCACCACGATAGTACACACCAGAGATTAAACCATGGTGCCATTTTTACAGCGCCATGCAAATAGAAAATAATAACACATTGCACTTATATAGGAAAAGTATAGGCTCTTTTGGACACTCAAAAATGCTTTAAAGAGGGACAAATTAATAAGAAATAGAAATAAAAAGCAGCTCAGCGTTGGCCGTTTTGATCTGGAGGGTTTTTAGCTGTGATTTGAAGGTCTGAAGTTAGTGGGACAGAGTTCTGTTTAGACAAACCTTTTCACTTACACCATAACTAAACCTTCCTCTGTTCATGCTGCTTTCCACTTTGTATTTTAACTATTTTTAAATGTACTTGTATGTAAGGCGACCTTGAGTGTCTAGAAAGGCGCCTAAGAGATAAAAAGTATTATTATTATTGTATTCCCACAGCCATGTATTGATTGATTGTTGATGATATTACAGTAAAATGTGGAGAAAACATCATTCAAAAATAGTCACGTTAAGTAGAGCTGACACTAATAAGAGTTTTAACAAACAAAATCCATAGATAATTCTTCATAAAAAGTCTGCGTGCATGTGCTGTAATCTCCAAAGTCCGGTGACAATCACAATAATGAAAATATCCTTACTATTACTTCATCTTTTGCCTCCAGTGGAAGAGAATGTGTGGTGTGCAGTTCCATACACATTTTGCAGAAAGACAGAAGCCCATTGAATAAAATGAATGAATTTTACATAACGCTGGAGCAGTTGGTGGATGTTATAATTGAGAGGAGTGGGTGAGACGGAGCCGTGTGGGCAGAGAGTCAGAGGGTATGGGCAGTTACATGATTTGTGCTTTTGGAGACATGAATCGATCTGGACAGCAGCGTTTTCGGAAAAAAGAATAGATCTTTAGTCAGCCTTGTTCTTTCAATTCTATTTAGATCACGTCATTCATACTTTAAGCGGCTGTAGATGCATCACTTCAAAGGTTTTTCTACCATATATCATTCATCAAGTAATCAGTTATTGAACTTACGCTCAAATACATGGTGTCGCTATTTATCCCCAACAATTACAGTATTTTGTTTTCGGGTGGAAACTGTCGTGCAGTGAAACGAAGGAGGACTCTAATTGTAGGAATGCCAAAAATAATTATGATTTAATGAGGATAAATAAAAGTATGAGATGAAAAAACAAACTCAAAATCCAAAGCCAGTGAACCAGGAACAGACAAAGTCAATGGACCAGCAACAAAGAGAGAGGAGCACAGGTACATATAGACGCAGAGACACAGGTGGAACACATTAGGGCGGGATGGACGGTCAACCAAGGGGAACAGAACAGGAAGTAAAACCAAACCAAAACCACAGAGAAAAAGGTCAGATACAACATTGCTCCGTGACATACCGTAGGTTTGCATAATAATCAAGTTAAAGCTGGGAGACCTAACTTTATTCTACATAAATAGTGTCATACATTTTTGTTTGTCCCAACATTTTACAACATAATCTTTTATTGTATTAGAACATTTGTTTTCGTTTTTTTTTTACTTTTCTGTCCAAGAAAACTGATTTAAAGATGTGATAGAGGCCATGACATGCACGTGAAAACTGGGGATAGAACCATTTTTTTTTTTTTATGTTTTGTGTGTTTATGTCATGATCTTCTCTCATCTTAATGTTCTGTTAATGGTTATGTATAAATGTATGTTTGGATTTATGTTAGGGACACCCTCGAAAATGAGATGATTCGTCTCAAGCAGCTTTCCTTAATTAAACTTAAAACCAAACATTTTTGAGAGAGAGGAACTACAGTAATTAGACGGATTTTAAGAGATAGTTTCACAACAAGATAGGTTTCCCAGCTTTGATAATCGAGAGACGTTACCTACATTTGTGATACATTTTTCTCTTCGTGATCACGCTTTGTTGTTGAGTAACCTATAGGTTACTAGTTACAACAAGACACATTTCACAACATGCATTACAAATGATGTCTAAATTCTCAACTTTCTTTTTTGTTCTCGTCTGTATGCAATATTGTGTCTCATCTTTTCCAAAGTGTGTCACGTCCCAACTGTGATAGAACAAAATAAAAAAAATACTTAATGGCTGAAGAGTGAGAGACTGTGAGAGACTGTTTGCTGTGCATTCTAAGCTGTCCCACTTACCAGGCTGTTTCGTGTCTGCACAGAGAGTATGGTAACGAGGCTAATGCTAAGGTATTTGAATATGTTTGTTTGGCTCTTAAGTTACCCAGACTCTCCTCCACGGTAGGAAGTAGCATGCATTTTTATACTTTTCATCATTTGCTTCTGCTTGAATCATCACTTGTTGGAAGACATTCAAAAGGTCTCAGTCTGTGCACTTATATCTACAGCAGCAGATTAGCATCATCAGAAACCAATGTGTGTTTTGAAAATTTGCACTGTATCATTTTTTTTTATTATTATTAATATGATTATTTTTTTCTATTATTATTTAAGGACATACAAATCAAGACAGACAAACTGCAGTAATATAAGCATGACGAAAAAGAACACAAAGCAAGCACAAACAAGGGACAAGCAAAGGCACCAAAGAGGAGAATTTGCACTGTTAAAGGTACACTACAGATAAAGATTTTAGGGTAAACACATTTTCAAACCCATGCCTAAAGCTGCCAAAATACACTACTAAGACTGAAATTCTCCCAGTGCAAAAACCTAGACTGGAAGAGGAAAAAACCCCTCAAGGTCGTGAGGGCGGCCTGATATGTTGTTGACGCGGCGCCATGGAAACGTGCTGCAGGAGTGTTAAAAATATTCTTAAATCCTATATGAAGCCCCTTTTGATAGTCAACATTTGTGGAAAAAGCCATACAATACATGCAAGTGCCATCTTTCCAACATGTAATTATGGTATTTTATATATTGAATGCTTACAATAAAATTAGATTTAAACAAACAAAAACAAAAAAACAAATACACAATACCTGGTTTTTGTTTGATTTTGCGCTATATTCATAAATCAAATTCAGATTAAAAATGTTAACCAATGCCGACGTACAAATGGAATAATATTTTGAATAGTCCACTATCAAAAGTGTACATGGATGGCTTAGAAGTTATTCACATTCATTTGTCCCTGTCGCCCACCTCTGCTGCGTGTGGCCGTCATGAGTGAAGGGGCTGGAGTGGCCGTGTTGACTGGAGCCCTTGTCACGGCTCGGTGCTGTTCCGTGGGCACCGGGACATGTTTCTATACAGTGAGGCTTTGTCGCCGGGGTCCAGAAAGACTCATGTTTGTTGACTAAACTGTGCATCTCTTGTCATGTCTTTGCAGAGGAGCAGTTTGGCAGAATGAAGGAGGAGAACTTGTTCCAGCGGAGGTTGTCTCTGTGTCCCAATGCTGTTTCTCCTCCTAAAATCGAACCCCAGGTCTTGACCCGGAACCTGTCCTACTCCGGAGATGACGACCTCTGCAACATCAGTGCAGGTACAAACTTTTTTAGAAACAGTTTAAATGTGACATGTAAGGGTTTAGAGCAAGATAAATAAAATTTGCTCAATAACTTTTCTGGCCGCGATAAATCCCATTTGCATGCTTGTTTGTTTCCCCCGTCTCTCTCTCCCCCCCTCTCTCTCGGGTCAGAGAGCCGCAAAGTGGTCACGGGAACATTAGCGGTCTAGCAAGCAGACGGAAATTACTCAAAAATACAAAATACAGCCAAAACAGGACCTAAACCAGGACTTAACCAGGATTGACAATGGGGGACACAGTAGTTGTGAATAGAGGTGCAACGGTTCATCACTGATCCGTGATCCGTTTGGTTCAACGTCTTCGGTTTGGTACAGACGTGATCCGCGTTTTGATTTATGAAAAAAAAGTTGTGCGCACGTTGTTCAGTCCACACACAGCGCGGTCATTGCGAGCGGAGGAACGGAGATGCTTGAAAGCCCTGCGTCATTTAAATCCCCAGTATGAGAGCATTTTGGCTTCACTGTAACTACACTGATAATTAATATTTGACAAAACTGTCACGATGTGTAAATACTGTGGCACAAGAAAGACATGAGTGAAAAAAGCGTCTCAACGACCGCTTATTGTCGCGGCATTTAAGCAGCTCCTTTACGCACAGTCAGACCGGGCTAAAGTCAACTCTCCCGCGCATCCTCAGCTGCGCTCACGACTGACGCTTGGACGTCCCGCGGAACCTATAATAGATCCATGAGCGGAACCGCTCACTTCATCACCGCAGACTGGGAGATGAAGAGTCTGGCGCTGCAGACACGCCCCCTCTACGACAGTCACACCGTCACACAGCGCAGGTTCTGACACAAGCAGCGGAGGAATGGAAGACAAAGGCCCAGTACTAATATCCCAGTCACAACTGATAATGCCAAAAATTAAATAAATGCAGTGAATGAGGCTGGGCCCAGAATGGAGCGCCTCCTCGGGAGAATCAGGAAGGTGGTGTAATATATGAGAGTAAATATCCTCATAAAGTGCCTTCTTATGTTGCACTTTGCGTTGTTTTTCATTAATTATGTTAAATAGACATAATTGGATGGATGGAATATGCCATCCATCCATCCATCCATTTCCTTCCCCTTAATTCATTTCTAGGTCAGGGGGGCAGTCAGAGCAGGTGCCGAGTCCACATGAGCTGTGTTTATTAAAAAGACAAAACTTTTTTTTTGAAAAATGAACCGAAAAATGAACCGAACCGTGGCCTCTGAACCGAGGTACGAACCGAACCGTGATTTTTTCAAACCGTTGCACCCCTAGTTGTGAACATATGCCGGCAGCTGAGTTCTCATTCAGGCTTGATTAGTGACTATACTAGCGCAGCTAGCGTTAGCGTGTTCGCCGATGCAGAAGTACCGTACCATACCAATAAAATAAACTTATGGCGCACCTCCGTGAATACATACTGCTGTTATATAAAGTCTCTAGAAGGTCTCTGAACAAAGAGATGCTGCAGACTTGCATTCTTGGAGTAGAACTTTACACAAAAAACCCGCTAGCTTAGCTGTTAGCATCAAAGCCCGCCCCGCTACTTCCGGTGGGCGCTACCGCAGCAGGACTTCTGTACGCCCCATTGGTAAACCCACATGTCAGTCACTTGTCATTCGCCTGGTGTGTGGGGAGGTGGGACTACTCCTGAGAGATCCTGTCTTAAACCACACAAAGTCAACATGTTGGTATTTCTTTCTCGTAATCTGCCATAAAGTCTGAGAAATTATTGACATTTGAGGCATCTGTTTCATATTTTCTTTACAAAGGTCCTGGCAGTTTTATTCCTGGTCATTTTTTGTTAAGAGACTGAGTATTTTATTTATTGTTTTTGGTTGTTTGTAAATTTATTGTGTTCTAGCGTTAAATATTCGTTAAAAATAAAAGTTTATTTCTCTTTGAAAAGGTGTACCTGCATGATCATTGTAATCGATGCAAATGATCTCAGAACGACAATATAATCGCTTATCGCAATAATTTCTGAGACAATTAATCGTCCAGCAAAATTTGTTATCGTGACAGGCCTACATGAGGTTTGCATTTTAATTCAAATCTATCTGAAATGTATTCAAAGGGCTGCATGTTATACATGTAAAAATGTTGTCATTGTTAGCCCAATATTTATTAAAAATAATGGTATATTTCTTTCATGCATCATCTTTGCCATTTGCTGCACAGCCCACAAAGCATGCACTGCAAACCTGGCAGAAGAAGATGTGGAATCCTCTTATAATTTAATCATAATTAATGATTAGGGATATTCTTATATTGGGATATTCAAGAAAAACTGATTATTATTTTTTCCCTTGAATTGAAGACCCAGAGTTTGAATACGTTGAAAGACAAGTTTATATCTTACTCTGTGAAACATTCCAGGCTGTATAACATTTCATAATTAAGTCAAACTGGTGACGTCCTTCCACTAAAAGTTCCCTGTCCACTTTCAAAAAGGAATGTCCCGATCCAGGTTTTGGGCTCCTGATCCAGCACCAACATTATTTCCAGTCAATACAAATATTATTATTACTTTGTAAGTTTTTGTTTAACTTCTTGTCACCTCCACTTTGCTTGCATAAAGTTTGGATTTGTCATGTTTTTTTGCTGCTTCAGAGCCCTCAGTTGGTGTTAGCTCTGAGGGTAGCGTAGCATTAGCCACAGTTGGCTTGCTCAGTTCAATGCAGAAAACTCAGTTTTCTCCATTAATTTCAATCCAATACACAAAATAATGCCTGGATTGTCCGATATGGGATCGGGACACCCCTTCTTTAAACATAAATAGTAATGTTTTGTCCTTTTCACTCCAGTACAGAGCTGTTAAGTGTGACATCATTTCTCACTCTTCACCAATATATTTTTGGTATCCTGTGGGTATGCTCCACTCTCTTAAAATTAAAAAAAATATATATATATAAAGCAGGTGTTGAATGACAATACAAACTATGAGTGGCTTGAATTGTTAAGGTAAGCTACAGCTTTTTTATTTATCACTGTGATCAAGGCTAACTTAACAACCACAGCGCTTAAAACAAAGCAGAGGACGGAGAGGTGTTGTAGAAATGGTAGCTATGTTATTAATTCATTTGAATTCTATGTATTTTGTATCAATCAATCAACTTTAATTTATATAGCACAGTTCATACAGAATGCAACCCAAAGTGCTTCACATTGGCAACATCTAAAACCAATTTAAAAACACACTGTAAACACACATAATAAATATATTCTGTATATCAGTGACAAAATCCTAATCCGCTGCCACAACACTAGTAGCCCTAAATCACAAAAGTAGTTATCTCGGAGGACTTTACAAAGCTGTCGATTCGCCAACACAGAGATCCAAAGATCCATCGGTCTTTAAAAGGCAGATGACCAATGTCCATAAATGTTGATAAAGTCCATAAATGTCGTTGAATGTTGCGTGTCCTGGATCATCACCACTGTCCTCAGACCCTCCAGTATATTAAGGAAATAAATAATCTGATGCTCTCTCCGTTTGCGTACAACAAGCCGTAGCCTTGACCCGGAAGTGCAGTGTTTTAACGTCACTAGTTAACAGCGCTCGTGTTGTTTTGTTTTTCCACTGAGCAGCTGTGCTTTGAAGCGCTTCTGTCCGTGGGCAGGTTATCCTTCATCCGTTTGTGACTGTGTGTTGTGGGTTCCCACCAGGCAGTGAGGACAGGAATGGTCTCCCCATGCTGAGTAATGAACTTAGTCCTGCCCAATCCCCAAGCAGCAAGGTAAGACCGCCGCTCCTGATTGGGCAGATTTGCTTTACTAATTGATTTTGTTTATTTTACACTGAGCTTTTTTTTTTTTCTTGAATATTCCCTTATGTGCAATTACTAACACTGGTGGGAACACTTGCCTTCTTCAAACAATGGCGGCTTATTAGGCCCCTGTTGTTTTTCACACCAACCATCTGTTAATGACACAATATTTGCTCTAAGTTGGAGCTCATCTTGCCTCATCTCATTCTGTCCTGTTTCCCCTTTTTGTCACCTTCTCATTTCTTCATTTTAGCCCTGAAACTTCTAAATGGTTTCTGTTTGAAATATTAATTAATTCGTTATGGCTTTGAATAGTCTACAGTTTAGCGTATGCTTTCATGGGAAACACAATAGCTACTTTTTCTACATTCCAACTGGATTGAGTGATAGATTTCCCCGCTAAGGATGAATTATGCCAAATTTTATATTTTTTGTTGCAAATCCTTTTACCCTCTCTTTCAGTCTGAGTCCAGGATGTTCAATGGTGTGGAGAAAGAATGCTCCTCGCCGACAGAGAGGTTGGCCCGGAAGGAATCTCTCAAGGTAGCATTTTTATTTTTTCTGTACTTAGGCATGTCACGATTACTAACTGTGATGGACAATGTTATGTATCTCAAAATCATAGCGTAAATAATATCATCAGTGTTTCCCACACATAGACTAATCTGTGGCGCACCGCCACAGATTAGAGACCGCCCGCCACAAATTGCGTTTCGTATTATTATATATATATTTTTTTTGTTACGCTATTTAAAACATGCATCGTCTAGTGCCGCCGCAGCGGTCAATTTGACAGCGGGGAGGGGGGTTTAAAATGTGGCGGCCCTTCGTAACTCTCACTCAAGCTACGCGTCTCTCCCACATACAGAGACCTACACACACACAGCCCCTCCCCTTCGTGCACACCGCGTGTCTCCGTCTCCATCAGCGATCATCGCTGTAAGCAGCTGTGTCTATTCATTTACCGCGGTAAAGTGGCCCGCATCTTTCAGCTCTATGAACATGCGGCCCGCATCGGGGAAAAGACGGTGCGCGTTTTGTTGAGAACTTACGGTAACAGCGGAACGTCCTTTCGGAGTCACCCATTTTTATCGAACAGAAAGCGCGCTGGGGTCAGGGAGACACGTTTTTGTGATTAAAACCTTATAGAGATGCCACCCGGCACACATAGCACCAGCCCCCTACGATTCCTCCTGCAGATTGTGAGTCCTCAGGAGGATAGCCACTCTATTGTTTACATGTATAAAGTACACAATTTGGTCCGCTAGTGCAATTTTCAAGTATTGTAACTATTTACTGGAATAAGGTGTGCGACTAATTTCACTTGACTCATGACCTTATTATTGCCCTCTGCCACTGTACCAAAGACCAGAAACTTTTACTGTAGAAATATTGAGAAATATTGAGGTAAAGTAGCCATTTTGGTCCAAAATACCTCCAAAATAGTCAAAACATGTCACTTTTGATCTACTGTAACTTTTTACTGTAAAAAGGTGTGCGACTAATTTCACTGGATTCACGACCTCATGATTGCCCTCTACCACTGTACCAAAGACCAGAAACTTTTACTGTAGAAATATTGATTTAAAGCAGCCATTTTGGTCCAAAATAGCCTAAAAATTGTCAAAACATGTCACTTTTGATCTGCTGTAACTTATTACTGTAAAAAGGTGTGCGACTAATTTCACTGGATTCATGGCCTCAAGATTGTCCCCCCCCCCCCCCCCCCCCCCGCCGACGACCACCACACATTGCCTTCAAACCTGTGGGAAACACTGATCATTGAAACTGATGATCCCAGTAGAACCGTCTGTCCATGCCATTTCATTCAAAATTGAGTCATATTTAGTCATATTGAACCCTGTACTGCTAAAGCTTCATTGTTTTACCGAGATATCACTCCACTTATGCAAAGAAGATGTACCAATAAAAAAGATTTAGGGTTGAAATAAATAATCCTATCCACCAGATCGATAGTAATTACGTTAAAGGCCATCCTGTACTGGAAATGTCTATATCCATAAAATCTATATTGCTACATGGTTGGAGTCACGTCCTAAGACATTATTGCCCTCTGCTACCACCTAGTGTTTGTGTGTATAACAGCAGTTGACCAGCAGTTGATAATCAGTGTATGTATTTTTTTATTTTTTCTCAGGTCCAAAAGCAAAATTACAGACAAGAAAAGAAACGAGCTGCGAAGGAACTGTCTACTGCACTAAAGGATCCGAGTGTTGTCATCATGTCCAATTGGCTGAAGGTACAGAACAATGCAATAAATGATCATGATAATAATAATAATAGCATAAGCAGGATTTAAACATTTTTGCTTTTTTCCATGCTCCAAAGATACGGGGGTCTTTAAAAAGCTGGACCAAGCTCTGGTGTGCGCTGAAGCCCGGAGTTTTATTGATTTACAAGACTCCAAAGACGGACCATTGGGTGGGCACCATTCTGCTGAGCGCCTGTAAACTCATCGAGAGGCCTTCGAAGAAAGACGGCTTCTGCTTCAAACTCTTCCACCCTCTGGAGAAGTCCATCTGGGCTGTCAAGGTCTGACACAGACACAACCAATGACATTAGGGACATGCATGACAGATCTAGGGGTGGGCGATGTGGCAAAAACAAAAATGTATCACAATTTTTTCCTATTTTTTCAATTTGATCAGGATTAATTTGAACTTTTTAGGTTTCAATTGTCTAAAGCATGGGCATATGTACCGGTGCTTGCATTTACAAAAGCTCTCTTATATACCTACAATTAAAACAATAATCTTAGACTTTATTCACCTGTCTCTCTTATATGCAGTAGACCTAGGTGGGAATGATGTATTTGGTCAGAACTGGGAAAAATAGAGAAATTGTGCGAAAATCATTATGATGCTGTATTTTCTTTGGCACCGTATCTTTCAGATCTTTTTACTTTATAATGCTACGCTTCACTAAAATACTGTCATTACTATAGTTCATATTTTTATGTCTGCATTACCAGGGTCCCAAAGGAGAGAACGTCGGCTCCATCACACAACCTTTGCCCAGCAACTATTTAATCTTCAGAGCGACTTCGGAGTCTGACGGTGAGTGCCACACAATCCACTGTGTGGATACACACATGGACACAGTTACACACAGGAAGCATTTGTCCATGTTGCAGTGTGACAGGAAGCTTGTACGCACACAGAAACACTTGTGTCAGCAGTGTTTACATGTGTGTTGTGCGTGTGCAGGCCGGTGTTGGATGGATGCTCTGGAGTTGGCTCTCAGCTGCTCCAGTCTTTACAAGCGCACGGCCAAAGGAGTCAAAGAGGGCGACATCAGCACATCGTCAGAGTCGTCCCATATCCTCCACCTGCTGCAGTCCACGGCTCTGAGCGACGCTGAGCTACTGCAGTGAGTCACACTTAACATTCTCCAGCAAGACCTGTTCTCTGAATGCCTGTCACTGGGGCAGAAGAATCAGGATTATTATAATACCATTGTCAGGGCACAGGAAGCCACAAATGATGAATTTGCTTTGGCATATGGTGCAATAACAGAAATAAGATAGTCCAAATATCTCCCCCTTGAGAGAATGTGGTTCCAAACAAAGTCCTGTCAGTGTACAGATTTTCATGTTTCAATTTTAGTTTCTATCATGGACCTCTGTGTGTTCAAGTGTCTCTTTGTTTAAAAAAAAATATATATATATATAATAATAATAATACTGTTATTATTCTAATATAAATACACACAATATACAACAGTACAGGTAATACAATTAATAAGAGTCCAGATAATAGTGGCCCGGATTACACTTTTCTCGATTGGCTTAACACATTTGTCGGCTAAAAAGAGGGCGTAACAAAACCCAACCCATAGTCCAGCACGTATTTCGGTCGACATGCCATCAGTTCACAAAACTACAATAAAATCCCCACACGTCAATGGACTCGGCATGTTATGACACAAAACTGCTGCAAGTTCACTCCATGTATATTTTGGGGTCCCTGACTGAAGTTTTAGAGCCCCTGTAATAAATATAAGAAATATAATACATTCAGTTAAAATGTCTTTTCAGGGAGTTACGTCATTGTTTGAACATAAATGTGATCAAACTTTTGCTTTAAGCTTTGGAGCTGCCTCTGATCGTTTAGTTTTGCATGGAAGTTAGTGAGTGTCTGTTGTCCTCTGAACCCTCCCTCCTTCCTCACCCAATGGCACGTGTGTGTAGAGTCACATGACCAAAAGAGGAGCAGGAAGAATATGATCCACCCAAACAGTCCGTAGAAAAACAGCAACACAACTTTAGGAGCAGTGAATCAGTGGAGAACACACGGGGCACCTTTCAGTTTCTTATCAATCCCTTTTACTCATTTGTAGCTGGAACTATTTTGGACTTTACCTTCTTCTGTATTTGCATCTGACAAAGAGCTGTTTGACTTTGTGGTAAGAACTCAAACATGCAAGGTGTGTTAGACTCAATAAATGCCCTGCCATTTTCTTTGTGAAGAGAAGCTGGAATGTTGCGTTTCCAGTTTAGTTGATTTGCGTGAAACTGGCGGATTCATATTTGTGTTGGTTATTAAAGCTTTCTTAACGTTTATCACATGGCATCGTTCATTCATTCAATGGTTAAAGGTTATAATAACATAGACATCTTTGTCTGTCTGTATCTTAAAACAGAAAGAAAATAAGTTTCTATTCCTCTACCACACTATCATTATAACTGTTAATACAAAGTTAGAAATTGTTTTTGGAAAACTTAAAGACGAAAAGTTTTTGACTCTCACCAGTGCTAACACAAACTTGTCTGTAGTTCTCCTGTCTGAACATGTTCATGTTTGTGCTCTGAATGCATCTACTTGGAAAGAAACGTATGTCTGCGTGCGTGTGCCTGTGTGTGTATGTGTGGGTGCATGCATGTGTGTGTGTGTGTGCGTGCGTGTGCCTGTGTGTGTGGGTGCATGCATGTGTGTGTGTGCTTGAGCGCGTGCGTGTGCCTGTGTGTGTGTGTGAGTCACTATGATTAAGTTTGACAAACTTTTATTTGAAACAAAACAACAGATGGAGTGATGTCTTAAACATTGCTCTGATGTCACCTCGGTAACCAGCATTTATTTCTACAATAACATGCTTATGTTGGTGAGATGACGATGTGATGCTCAGGTTGGTATAATCAGTCTGAATGGAGGCATATGGAGCTCCCTCTAGTGGAACACATACTTCCTACAGGCACTAAAGCACGATTGAGTGATTTTTGTATTTGTGAACAAACACTCTAAAGGGGCGTTCACACCCGACTTAACTTCGGCGTCAAAAGCGTCAGGTTTGCATTGAAAGTGAATGGTGAAGCGCGTCAGGTGAAGCCGAGGGGCCCGGCGTCACTTGGCGCGCGTCAAAAGCTTCAAAGGTCGCGCGTAATACGCGCTCACTTGAAGCTTTTGACGCGCGAAACGCTCGCGTATCAAAACAATCCCTCTGACGCCGAAGCTGAGCAAAGCTGAGCTTTTGAAGCTTTGACGCGGGCTTCAACCAATCAGGAGACGAGGAGCAGCAGCAGCAGAGGGTCTGTCTCTGTCATGGAGAGAAGTCATGTATCTGCTGCTGCTGTTTTATTGTCATTATTGTTATTAGTAATATTATTTGTATGAGTAGTAACGTTCTAAGAACAGGCTGACGATGAGTCTGGCTCAGAGCAAGGCAGCTCCAGGCGAGCGAGAGCCGGGGAGAGGCGGGGAGAGGCAGTGAGATGCGGGGAGAGGCAGGGAGAGGCGAGCGAGAGCCGGGGAGAGGCAGGGAGAGGCGAGAGCGAGGCGGGGAGAGGCAAGCTCCGGGGTTTGAGAACTCAGACTGGGCGAGTGACATGCGGAAGTGCCGCTGAAAGCGAAACTCCTATGTACGCAGCTCCTGGAGTAAATGACGGAACTCTGCAAACACTGAAGCCTCTCAAGTCTGTGGTGAACCCAGAACATGTTTTGTTGAAGCCCTACATTGCAACAACGTTATTTTGCTTTATATAACAAATAAAGGCTCGCTGCTCATTGAAAAATCCACCGCTGTCCTGACTACAGACAACAGAGAAGCTCCTCCCACCGGCGTCAGGCGCGTCAAAAGCTTCAAGCACCAAAATGACAAAACTATCCCGGCGTCAGTTGAAGCGCGTCAAAAGCTTTTTGAAGCTTTTAGTCTGAACGCGCCTTTAAGGTTCTGTAAATTCTAACATTGTTCTTATCTCTAGGTTGAGTGAGAGTGCTCTGCTGGGCCATCACAGCATGGAGCATGACGGCTTCTCCGACAAATCCGAACGTGAGGCTCACGATGACTGGGACACCACTGCCAATGAAAACGGTGGAAGGCTCACGGAGGAGAGTGACAATGACCAATCAGACGAGCCGCTCCCAGGGCCACAGGCCACTGCTTATGTCGAGCAGAGCACAGAGGAGATGGGAGAAGTATGTTACACTGCAACCATTTTAAAAATCTTATTTTCATATAATAATGAAGTGTGTTGTTCTGTTGTTGTAGGCAGGAGAGGCGTCCCAGGTAGAGACCGTATCAGAGGAGAACAAGGGACTGATCTGGGGTCTGCTCAAGCAGCTGCGGCCTGGAATGGACCTTTCCAAGGTCGTGCTCCCAACATTTATTCTGGAGCCACGCTCGTTCTTAGACAAACTGTCGGATTATTACTATCATGCTGATCTGCTCTCTCAGTAAGTCTCAAACTTCTATTGGTCCGTGTTCCAACTGTTGCTTATGAATGTGTTGGTTCCGCGTCTCAGAGCTGCGCTGGAGGAGAACGCCTATGGTCGAATAAAGCAGGTGTTGAGGTGGTACTTGTCAGGTTTCTATAAGAAGCCTAAGGTAAGATTCTAATCTGTACTTACTACTGTCCTCAACATTACAGTGAATCTTACACTGACTGTACTTACTGCTTTATTTTAGGGTCTAAAAAAGCCTTATAATCCAATCCTTGGGGAAACATTTCGCTGTTGCTGGCTGCATCCGAATACAGACAGCTGCACCTTCTACATCGCTGAACAGGTGAGGACGCACTCTTCTAATGCTCTCATCAGACACTTCTTCATCTCTACCTTTGTTTTCTCAGGTGTCCCATCATCCACCCATCTCTGCCTTTTATATTTGCAATAGAAAAGATGGTTTTTCCATTAGTGGAAGCATTCTCGCCAAGTCGAAGTTCTACGGTAATACAGTAGTTATATTTATTTATCAAGTTTTTACCAGAACACATGAGTGTAATTTAGATCAGATAGTTTGTGGTGACCATTTCAAAATATTTACCACAACTATTTTTGAACTGTAGGGAACTCTTTGTCTGCCATTCTGGACGGCAGAGCACGGTTACTGTTCCTCAGCCGGGAGGAGGAGTACATCATCACCATGCCCTACGCTCACTGTAAAGGTAACAATCCTCCATCACTGAAATGTGTACATCTCTGTATTACCTCAAATCAAAATAAAAACTGTTTACTGCAGGTATCCTCTATGGCACGATGACACTTGAGCTTGGTGGAAAAGTTACCATTGAATGCGAGAAAACCAAATGTTTTGCAGAACTGGAGTTCAAACTTAAGGTAGATCACATGACTCAAATAACTCATAAGCCATAATTAACTTACAATACATTTTGCATCGACAGCCTTTTCTTGGAGGTTCCAGCTCAGTGAATCAGATCAGTGGGAAAATCCATGTGGGAGAGGAGCTGGCTGCCACTGTGGACGGACACTGGGTAAAGATCCGAATCTACATCAGTTAAACTAATGAGCCTTTACGAGAGGCTGATGCGAGTGTATTCTGTGAACAGGACAACGAAGTCTTCATTAACGAGAAACGCTCAGGGCAGCAGGAGATTCTGTGGAACCCGAGCGCAGACATCCGCAACAGCCGCCTCAAACGACAAGTGGTGCAGATCGAGCAGCAGGGACCTTTCGAGTCTGAAAAGTACGTTTTTCTTCACTCAACCATAACAGACTTGAAAACCACTTGATTTTGACGGTCCGATGTGTTGGTACCTGTGTGAAGGCTGTGGGAGCATGTGACCAGTGCCATTGAGGAGCGGGACCAAATGAAGGCCACTCAGGAGAAGTTTGTGCTGGAGGAGGCCCAGAGGAGAGAGGCCAAAGAGCGGGGAGAGAAGCCCTGGGTCCCACACCTGTTCCAGCAGGACCCCGTCTCGTCTGAGTGGACCTACATACACATGGAGTATGGAAGATTAACATTAAGATTTATAAGAGATCCTTTATTCGTCCCACAGTGGTTGAATTTCAGTGTTGCATCACCAGTTTCAGGGCAGTAGGAATGAGGAGCACACAGCACAAGATACATGAACAATAACTCTAAACTAAATAGAATTAAATAACGAATCTCTAACTCTAGCATGAAGAAGAAACAAGTTTAAAATCTATATGTTTAGCATCATGAGTACAACAAACTCTGACTTAAGCATGATAAAGAAGTATAAAATATCTACCTTTGTCATAAAATGAAGCAACCTGGATCAGCAAAAGCACACTCCTAATGACATAATAATAACACATATATTTGTGTCCTTCAGCACACAGCCCTGGGACAACGAGAGCTGCCTTGTACAGTTTGAAAAAGACGGAATCATTCAGACGCAAGAGAAGAATCAGAGGCGACACAACGGCCTCTCCTACAGCCACAGCTGGGGCAGCCAACACAAGGTCAGAAGCCGTTTCATTGAATTCTATCACATTATGTTTTAACACTTTTCTTTCCGTCTCAGTCGGAGATCAGGAAGCGCAGGAAAGCCAGCAGTCAGCCTTCGAGCTGCAGCCAGAACACCGAGAGCAGCAGCACCACCCCAGAGCCCACCCACGAGTCCTCAGACAACGAAGGTGCGGCTGCAGACGATGAACCGTGAGATAGATTCATATGAATAATGTATGTTCTCTGTTTTAGTAGGCTTCTCCAAACAGTGTGCCCGCTGCAATAAAGAGGTGCAGGACATTGCCCAGATACAGGCCTCCATCTCGTCGATAAAGACCACGCAGCAGGACATACAGAGGTGAGACGCTTTTCTTTATCTGTATTTCCAAACTATGTCTGTGATTCTGTGTGTTTGCAGGAGCCTGGTGACTCTGAGTCGTCAGCTGATCAATCAGCGAGCGGCCAATGACTCTATGACGTTAACGGGACGTCACTGCCTCATCGTGTGTATTCTGCTGCTGTCACAGCTCCTGTTCAACATGTTCACCTGAGCCACCTCCAGGGGGCGCAGTTCTCCTCCCACTGACCTGGCCCCCGGCAGAGCCCTCGGTCAGGTCAGCCCTGAGAGTAAAGCTGTCCCCCATTTGTCTTAAAGGGGGAGAAGAGACTTAAAGCAATAAACACAGCCACAGCCGCTTCTGTCAGTCACATCTTCAGAGAGAAAAGGCGCCCCCTTCTGTAGCCAGACTGTAACAGCAATGGCACCCATGCACTTTGGATATGAAAGAGGAACAACAAACAAGAATGGCCTAAAAGACTCTGAATAAACACATGAAATGTTCTGGGATATGAAGAATGAAGAGGTTCCATGACAAAGCGGATGTTTCACCATTCCTGAGTGTCTTTTTATTGCCCTGCAATACTGTTTATCTGTGCGTGTACCTATATTAGTCTTTCTCGTCGTTATACTTTAGGCCCTATGGGCGCAGGCTGATGATCACCTCTGACATTTCCCGCTCCCTTCACACCACATTATGGGCCTTAATGCTGAAGCCAAAAAGAAGAGAACACATGAGTGAAGAACGTAACTCTCTTCCAACAGTGCAATTGTGTGTTGATGTACGCTCACATTCACATTGTCTCGTCTCTTAAAGATCGTTTTACCAAAACAGTATTTATATGGAGAAAGGACAAAGAGTATTTGTTTACAGGATACTGAGGGTTTGCCGGCTCATGGAGGAGGGACTATAGAGATAACAGCATGGCTCTGGTCCGGACCATGACACTAGTGTGAACAATCAGTCACAGAGAGTGCGCAGAGGGAATCGTGAAGAACTAGTGAGTTGCTTTAGCCTACAGCGGTTTTGGTCCACATCAAGGTCAAGACTCTTTAGTAATAATTTTAGTGATTAAATGTTTTCATTTAATCAATTTGTACAGATTATATTTGTTCACTGATGATTTGTGTGTCCAAAAGAGATTTCAGAATGTATTTATTGGGTGATTAACCTTGACTTTCTAATCTAATGTAGTGGAGGATGAAGAACAGGGGTTCTCCCAGGGTCGTCCATGTTGGTTGGGTTTGGTGTCACTGTGAGTGAGTAAGCCATGACACTCCAGAGCCACTGTCACCTGCTCTTTGACCTTACATTTCAGAAGGACACGAGGCGAGCAGCCTCAGGTGGTCCACATTAATACTCACCTGCCCACTGGGAGAGCAGCTGAGAGCACAACACTCACCTTTACATTTAGATAACTAGGATTCATTTTCTGTTTTCTGTCTGACTGCCATGTTCTGAGGGATTCTCATGCCACACCTTTGTTTCGTTTATCAAAAGATTTTCACATGGCTAAGTCCAATGTTTTTATTCATTGTATACTGTAGCACTACAGTAAACCTTTTTTAACCCTTCAACTGTTGATGCTTTTTATTACAAATATTCAAGGCCGCTCCAGGATCTCATGGGTTTTTGAGTGTTTCAAAGAAACAAGCAACCACATAGAACATTTCGGTAAAAAAATAACTCAAAACTCACTCTGGCCACAAGTCTCTTAGATCCACAAGAGGGAGCTATTTACCTGAGATTGGCCTCAGCCTGTTGAAACCATCCTTGGGTGCCACGCATACACACATGAACACACACGCAAACATACACATACACACACACAAAGGACAGAGTTCAGCGGCCTCTGAGCAGGTGAAAATCCTGTGGCAGACATCATGGATCCACCACACACAAAGACTTAAACCCCAGTGAAGCTCATGGATTCTTCACATGGCTGACAAAAAATACAATTACATTATTGTTAGTACACTAATGAAACCAAACCAGACTTTACATTTCCCTTTCACTACTCCTCCATCAGATGCTTATATTTAGGAGCCATTTGCTTTAAATCACATAATGAAGTATTGTTCTTTGTGGTGTTATAAAACTAATGTTATGTATATTATTGGTGTTGTTTCAGATGATGACATTGGAAATAGCACACCGCCCGCTGCTCCTGTTTTCCTGCTTGCTTATTATAATCCAGGGAAACCTTTGAAGTTACTGCAGGGAATACCAGTCGTATCAGTGACAGATTCATTACAAAGAGTTCAGTGGTTATGTGCAGAGCCTAAGTCTTAATGTTAAGCCTAAAGTAGTTACCCCCCAGGGCTTAAAATAATTGCCCGGAAACAAGTCTGACCCCAGGTTTGTGCCACTTTAGCCGGGTCACCATGCTGGATACACACGGCTTTGTCTGCCATACTTCAGATGTCAATCACAGACGCACAAAAGACAACTACAGGCAAGGTACAATCATTATCAACTTCATTTATATAGTTACTTTTTTCCATGATGCATTGTGTACTTTGAGTTGGGAAATTATTTTTAAGTTATTTTTAATTTAGTTTCAAAGCATTTTCATGATTGATTAAGCCATTTTTTGATGACCTGATGTGTCACAATGATCAGTTAAAGCTGGGGTACCTAACCTTTCTGATTCATTTATAACACACATACTGTACATATATACACACATCGATCAATCAATTAACTTTTATTTGTAGATCGTCTTTCCTACACAAAGCAACACAAAGCGCCTCACAACCCATATCACATCAGGCATAAATCATAAATATTCAAATCTACATAAACATGATTAAAAACAAACATTTACTTTACATGGCTGAGACTGGTGATTCCCTTGAAACTTCCCTCCATTCGACTGGAGATTACAGGAGAACCAAACTAGCTAGAAACCAACACATTTTTGCTGATGAAAGTGGACAGTCCGGTCTTTCAGAATCTGGTTTCATATTTTATATAGTCACAGCACACAATATTCTGTGGGTCTTGAAAGTCTGTGAAATCATCAAAAACGGTTGGCTGTCAGTGATCACAAGAAATTTTCAAAACATAGAAAATAAAATCACACAAGTAAAACAAACTGAAAGGGTCTTGTAGTAAAATGTGGTGAACAAATCATACCACAACATCCCATCTTAATCTAACTAGAAAACGTAATTTTTTTTTGCATACTTGGAAAGAAAAAGTCCCTGTGAGTCACTATTTGCCACTTTGGGCTAAGAGCTGATTGGATGAAGGTGGTCCTCTTTTTCTGTCTCAAAAAGCAGATCAAAAAATAAACAAAGTCAATCTCAAACTGTGTTATGTGTAGTTCCACCACCTGCAGATGAAAGCCAGATCTCACCAGACCTCTGAAGTGAAGCAGGGCTTGGCCTGGTTAGCACTGTGATGGGAGACCTCACCAGGTGTCACAGCGTAAAGTGCCAATGTGTTGTTGCGCCCTCAAACAAAACACTTTACTCACATTGTGTAGAATGGGTCTGATGTGTGAATGGTTGGTGGAGGCTGGAATGGCTGATGGCACATACTGATTGCCTTGCTTCTTTCAGTGTGCCCCAGGGCAGCTGTAGCTACAGAACTAGATCATTACCAGAGTGTATGGTGTGAATGAATTATGCAGTGTGAAGTGTCTTTGAGTGTATAAAAATGCATTAATATTTTATCGTTATCAGCCAGGGTGAAAAATTGTGTCTTTAAGGAGGATTTATAATGAGAAAGTGTCTGAGAGGCAAAGGGAGCTTATTCCAGAGCTTTCGGCCAACAACACTAAAAGCACGGCCCCCTCGCGCCTTCCTCCTTGCTTTTGGGACGACAGTAAAGACTCATCAGCCGACCTGAGAGAGCGCACAGGGGCAATGGCGCCGTAAAGATGGCGCCGTGGCAAGAGCTCTGGTGTGTGTCGTCTGGTGCACACTGGGGTCTTGCACAGTTTTTCCAATGTGGTTTTACTGCAAATGGCAAATAAATGAATCTGAATCTGTTAGGAGGTCGGAGAACAAGGGGCAAAACCATTGAGACACTACACACAAACGAGATCATTTTGAAATCAATGCAAACTTTAGCGTTCACTTCAACTGGACCCGAATCCACTGTCAATTCCTCAATGCCCCAAGCTCTGACTCCGTTCCAACATACAGTAGATCCATAACAAGTAGTTCAACACTATATTAAAATATGATGTTAAATAAAGTTTGGATCACACAGTAAAAACTGTTCTTGCCCAAAGGGGGAAATTTCAGCTTGTCATATAGCAGAGGAACAGAAGGAATATATAATCATGCAGAACTTAAAAAATACACCATGCAAGCTCAGCAGCAGGGAGTTACACACTAATATTTACAATAATGAATCAGAAGAGCTGTATACGTATAAAAGTTGGATATTATGATAGAGAAATACTACACATTGTCACTCCATGTACTGACTAATGAAACTGCTTGTCAAAACTAACGGATCTATCTTTTAAACCATCGGAGGTCCTCAAAATGTCACCTATAAACAGCGGGGAAGAATAAACAGGACGCGGGACAGGCCCGAGCTCGTCCGTGTGTGTGTGTGTGTGTGTGTGTGTGTGTGTGTGTGTGTGTGTGTGTGTGTGTGTGTGTGTGATATGAGACTGGAGCCGGTGTGTGCTGGGGGCCGCTTCACAGTCTGCATCAGAACAGATCCGGTGTCACATGACTTTTATTGGCTGCTGACTTGAAGAATAAATCACTGTTTGGGTTCGGTGTCCGTCACCCTCCCCCCGGGCCACAGCTTCATTAAGTCTGAATAGTGTAAATGTATAAAAGAATTTGTTGTGGGCATTAAAGGGGAAGTACAAAAGATTAAGACTTCAAATTGAATAAGATAAGAAAAGCTTTATTAGTCCCATGGTGGGGAAATTCCGGTGTTGCAGCGCACAAACAGGACAGTAGTGAGAGTACACAAGTAGCACACAAAATATAGAGAGATAAGTAGCTGTGAAAGCAGGGTATGAGACAAATATGGATGGATTATAGATAATGCGGAAATCCTGGGTTCGTAACAAAGTGGAACCATCCATTTTCTACCTCTTGATCCATTTCTGGGTCGGGGGGGTGGCCAGAGATGCCACCCAGCACACAGAGCACCTGCCCCTCACTGATCCTCCTGCATATGGTGGGTCCACAGGAGGATGGCCACTCCATGGCATAGCCTTGATCTTTCAGCAGGGG